AGTAGTTCACACTACACAATTTTTTGCCCGTATTTTCTCCGTATGACAATCTTAGATCGTTGGCTGATCTAAGATTGCCGCTGGTGATTTCGTAACCGATCATCCTACAGTGTGTGGTGGGTTATGGTAGATCGTTGTAGCCGCTCCGATCTAAATCAGGGGTTTTCCCCCGACTGGGAGCTTAACGCTGAATGTGACAGGCAGCCAATCAGAAAGCGCGGATTCTCCTCCGTGCTTTCTGAGGGGAAATTATGGAGGGGAATCCGAAACAGCTGACACGCCCAACCCAAAATCTAGCGGACATCAAAGATGATATGTGGAAACAACAATAATATTTAACATTTCGTACAAAGAATATAAAAAGGACAAGGGGAGGAGTTGGAACCAAATTGCTACCGCAGTTGATAAACCCGGTAAGATTTCAGCGGTTCTTTGTTAACGTGACAAAAATGGGTTATAATGATTTTCATTCAGTCAGAAGTTTACGCTGACTTTATGCATCACAGGTAGATTCTAGTAAAGCATTGATTAAGGCCTCGTTTTAAAATTAGTTAACTGGACTTGTAGCCATTATTTTGTGCCCATATGGCTGGACACCACATGGCACGACGAACCCGATCGAACCGTTATACCTAGGATTTCTGTCGGCTAATGTGTCTCTCAGGTTTTGAAAATGGGCCGACAACTCGTGTAGTGTGCGCTGGACATTACACTAAGGAAATGAGGAAGGGAAGGTCAGTGGAGAGCACCGGAGTTGAGCCTTTATTCATTCAGTGTCATCAAGAGAAAGAAAAAACGGCAGGAAGAGACGATAAAGCCGATAATTAAAATGAGGTCGATAGGTTTAATTTATCGTGCGATTAATTGATTTATCCTTTATCGCGACAGGCCTATATACACCCATTTGTATGTACAAATGTACAAATGTACTATTAAAGGTCTTAGCTGTGAAAACAACAGAAAATGTGTGAGATTGTAGAAACGTTTTAAACTCCTCTTTGCCATGTGTTGTTAGGAAGCTTTTAAAAGAAACACAAATTAAATATTTCCATACACAGACTCATTCCCCTGGAACAGGAGCGTCAAACTCCAGTCCTCAAGGGCCACTGTTCTGCAGTTTTTAGATGTGCGACAGGAACAAAACACTGGAATGAAATGACTTAATTACCACCTTCTTGTGTAGATAAGTTCTCCAGAGTCTTGCTAACAACCTAATTATTCTATTCAGGTGTGATGCAGAAGAGGCACATCTAAAAGTTGCAGGGCAGCGGCCCTCCAGGACTGGAGTTTGACACCTGAGCCCTAGAAGGTTTGTTTTGTCCTGAAGGTATGCTGGGATGAGATTTAAAAGATGCCGAACATCTTGCTGGAATCACATTGAAGGAGTATCGTCACCAGATTCGTCCTCAGATTTGTTATTAGGCTTGAGGTCAGAGCTCAAAGTTGAAATCTCGCTGCCAGCTGGACTGAGATCCATGTCTGTCTGAGATGGAAGCCTCACTAGAATGATAAAAAAAATGAAATTAGGACATAGGATAGACAAAAAAGATCTAAAAACATAAGATTACAGGCGATCTTTGCGCTTCATCATAATGGTTTTTTTGTGATGTTTTCTAAAGTTTCAATTGCTTTCCTTAACCTAAAGGAATTAATCTTTGTTTGATGTAATACGTTTTTTGGCTAATGAATTGTTTTGCATGTGGGGTTTAATAATAATTACGTATTCACAGTGTTAATAATTACGACATATCAGTAAAACTGGACATGAGATAACACAAAGAGTAAATGCTCAAACCATAGCCAGGGAGGGACTTTGCGCGTTCGCGTTCTTCCTCGTTGCCAAGCGGACTGGACGAGCTCTTCAGAGATGACCACTGTCGGCCGCTGATGCCGGACTCTGCACCTGTGATGCTGTGCTGCTCGAAAGCATCGCCATCTGCAGGAAACTCAGCTACAGGAGGAACAGAAGAAAAACCTGGGTTCAGAATTATTTTAACTAATAAATGTTATTTATGTTTAAGCTCTGTCTAATCAATTAGTCTTAAAAATTACACATCCACATAAACAGATAAAGAAAATGTGTTAGCAAATGCTTTTTCATTATTTAAAATGTTTCACATTTCATATGTAACACCCTTGAATAAATGACCCCAAGACTCCATAAAAAATGGTTAAATTCTCTTTTCTTTCCTGTCTCTTTGATTTTAAAATCACATCTTCTTACACACCAATTAAGAGTAACAACTTCTGATTACAGAGGAGGAGGGGTTCCTGTAAGTGTTAATTACAGAAGTGAAGCATCAAACTACAAAATCACAGATGCCTGCAGACATCTGGACGTGCCAAGTTACAGGCTGGAGCCGAGAGCATCTGCTCTGGGGTTTTTTCTGTGACGGACTTTTGCTTCTGTTGCTCTGCGTGTGGAGGCGTCATGGCCTCCAAAGCCTTCATTAAACATCTGGTCACCTGTTAAATTAACTGTTGTGTTTTTAGCTGCTCTTTTCCTCTCAGCGTTTTATGCTTTCAGTGGTGCTGAATATTTATCTTTACAGTAGCATTTTTAGGATTTAAATACAGCTAGTCTGAACATTTTGCCAAGTTAATATTTGCAGATATTAGACTGTGGCATCAGCTTCTACTGAGACAATTGGGTTATTATTGGATGGTAGACAGAGATAGTAACCCTCCAGTGGAGACAAAAGTCCTGCAGAGCTGCTGCTTGTGCTCTCTCTGTCTTGCTCCGACGGCGCCCTCTTCAGACGGGGAGCAGGAAGTGGTGCTTTGGGAGATACACTGCCAGGGGCAGAGTCTACTGAATCATCTGGGAGACAAAAAATAAGAGAAAAAATCTGAAAAACCTAAGCTTGTGCTTTAAGATGCATATTTCCAGCAGAGATCTAAAAGATGGCTGTAGGTTTTAGTTATTAGACTTGTCTTATCTTACCAATGACAGAGATGCTGCATGGCCTGGGACTGGTTGGACTGAGTTGTCCAAATGTGCGAGCAACCAGCGGTGCTTTAGCAGTCTGGGCTGGGGCTGGTTTGGGGGTGGTATTTGGTGGTTTGGCCCTAGGAATCGGCTCAGGTTTGGAGTCTTCAGGGTCTGTGGAAACCGCAGGATGTACATCTGACTTCGCTGGAGAAAAGAAAAAAAAGAGAGGTAGAGGCTTAGACATCATGTGATAGTTTTGTGAAGCATAAACAAGATATATATCATGTTTATGATATATATATATATATATACACATCAGAAAAGAATATTAAAACTGGACTCTACAACTAACTGTAAAATCTAAAAACAAACATGTAAATACATATATGGAATGGTGCAGTTTCTTTTTGTTTTTTTTCTACTGATTTGAAGGGCAGAACTTTGACTCGGCGGGAAATTTAATGTTTTTGATTGTTTATTCAATGTTGCATGAATCTGTGTTTTTGTGTTTAATGATGTAAAAGCACTTTGAAATGCCTTGCTGATGAAATGTGCCATTCAAATAAAATTTGATTGATTGATATGGATACATATATAAACTTTTAGAAAGTGGAAAAAAAAAACTGAAATTGTTTCACAAACAAAAACTACATTAAAGAAAAATTTTTTAGACTGATTTCTGTTTTTTGTTGTCACCTTGACTAGACTTGTTCTATTAAGAAATGTAAAATATTGAATGTTTATGATGTAGCATTTGTTAAAAAAATGTTTTCTTGACAGCAGTGTTTTCTTTCTTCTTTTGTGTATTGTAGTTTTTTGAAGACACTAAAACATTTACAAGCACTGTGCACTTCAAGATTTTAGAAATGTTCTGAAACTTTTCTTTTTATACCATTTTAGTTTTAAAGAGAAGGTTTTTTAAGTACAATATTTTAGTATTTTGGAACTTATTGTGAAATTTTCAATTAAAGGCAATGCCATTGTATCATATCTTATCACTCAATTTAAAAGCAAGAATTATTATTTCTTTCCAGGATCTGCAGTTAGCACAGGTATAAACACACTTACGTTTGTCTGAGTCCACTTTGTCCAGGACTGATGATGAATCGGACTGAAAAAATAAAATAAAAATTCAACATTTCTCTATCGTATATCCACATTACTATGTATGTTTATTGGTGCTAATGACTGCTAGAACTAAAGTAAATGTTGTACAACCTATTGATTTGACCAACCTTCTTTTCAGCCTTTTTGTCTTGTCTTGTTTTTTCTTGTCTGGCCTTCATCTCAGCCAGCAGATCCTTTCCCATCATAGGAACACCAATATGGCGATGAATGTGTGGGTTCTCCTTCTTCTCTATATTCTCCTTCTTTGGAGGACTTTCCTTCTTCTCCAGGTTTTCCATATCTTCCACCTTCCTGGTATCTTTCTCCTCCCCTGCAGGTTCAGTGGAAGTCGGAGGCGCCTCCATCTCAGAATCTGTGTGGTTCGCAGGCTGTGTCCCGTGGATCTCCTGATGAGGCTCCACTACAGAGATTGGACTTTTCACAGGTGGTATGGGAGAGGTAGGAGGGGGCTCCTCAGTGACTGGGCTTGTGGTGGAGGTGTTGGTGGTGTTGGCATGTGCAGGCTGCGGTGGTGTGATGGCCGGAGCTCCGTGGCTCTTCTCAGAGCGGGACGTTCGGGATTTAATGAGGTTGAAGAAGCCACTCTTCCTGGATTCACGCTTTTTATCTGATGCTTCTGGTGTTGGTGTTGATGGACTTCTTATGGAGGGAAGTCTGGAGAATATTCAAAATAAAGACACACAAATGTAAAATGATTTTAAAACTTCACCTCATGTTATGTTGTTTTTTTTTTGAGGTTATGAGGTAGCATTTGATCATTCATTACTTTTTTTTAGGGAAAAACAACCAAATCCAGAGCTTGAAAATAATCGTTTTCCTCAATTTCTTTGTTCAAGAACATAGAGGAACATTGTAAAGAGATGATGTCACCATTTTTTAGGCAAGAACAATAAATCAATTTATGAGCAGTACTGACCTAAAGCTGAGTTTGACAACTCTCTTGGAGAAGAAGTCATCTAGACCCTCATCCAGTTTGTCCATCATGTTATTCTGCTCTGCATCATGTGGCGCTGAGCTTCCAGTGGCTTGTCGCTAACACAGAGACAGCAGACAAAAAATTTAATGAAAGCGTAATAAAACACATTTCGTAAAAACTATAGAAGTTATAGTGATAAAGATGATTTAATCAACTGTAAAAGTATTTTATACAGTGTTGTTTTAGTTTTATGAGCCATTTCGTAATAAGCCATGATATACAGCTAAAACCAGCTGCTTGCATACAATGTGCTAAAAGAAATATGATCTCATATTACTGTTATTATTATATTACATCAGGCTAAACATATTCTATTTTAGGTCAGTTAGGATTATCAAAGTTATTCCTATTTGGTAAATGCCAGAATAATGTGAAAATAAATACAAAAATGTAAAATGTTAATTCACAACATTTGACTTCAGCGGAGGCATATCTGTGGATGAATTTTAAATTACATGTCAAACATACTACTTCCATGACATGATGAAGAAAAAGAAATGAAATCAGTTAATAGATAAGGAAGATAATTATGAACCTCCAGAAGCCTGGTTCATCCTCGGGCACAATTTCCACATATCTAAGTGATATGTTCAACTTTATTTATTCAGTGTAGAAACCGCCACTCCTTCTACCACCCAGGAAGGTTTTTGGCCTTCACATAGAGACTGTAACGGCTTAAAAATCTGAGGATTTAAGTATACCCAAGATGTGTTGCATAAATAATGCAGTTTAACCGGAAGAACTATGAAATATTCAGAAAAGGTGTGTACCGTTCTGAAATTAAACGAAAGTTGAACAATTCTCAGTCAGCTTAATTATTCTAACTGACCTAAAACAAGAATTATGAAAAGAAGAGACAAAGTCAAAGTGTATGGAATCTTCTTGCTACAACTGTGTTATAATTTTCTTAATATTGAAAAACTGTAACCATATCTTATTGATCTTCTTACTGGGGTTCTGCTGGGTTTTGTTCTCTTTTTCGGTTTCGGTCGGGATTTGGTGCAACTTTCCAGAGTTTTGTGCTCCAGCTGTGGTAGCTCTCCTATACACACAGACTTCCCATCTGACGGAGTGGGAGGGGGAGGCAGATCTTCAGAATATGACATCCTGTCTGATACTTGTGGGGGGGGAGAAGGAAGAGGAGGATCCTCGACGTGGATCGGAACCTCCTCCAGAGCTTTGTCCAGGTCAAACTCCATCTCTGTTAGAGAGACAAGGCATAGTGACTCACCATTGTAAAGTAATGCAATGGTGAGTCACTAGAATTAAACCCATCATATTAATTTAGCAAATATTATACAGAAATTTTAGCTTCATGTACAGTTTGAGATTTCTCTGGGAATGCTCCTTGAAAGGAATGAGCCAAGTTCTGGTTTATAAAAGGATGAAAGAAACTAGGTTTGTTAGTGATTTTTTAGAGGTCAAAAAGGTTTTCCGGAAAATTAATAAATAAATAAATCATAAATAAAAACTGATCAAAATGGAAAACTGTGTTACCCTCTGTTTACATGAACAAATCAGTTACACATGTCCAATAGGGATCGATAAAACTATAAGGAGACAGGCTGTTTGCAACTGCTGTCCTACAATTTCTACTGTTTGTTTCTTCGCAATCATTAATCATTACAATCTCTTAAGCTGTTTTTCTAATTTTCTATTTGTCTCATGATGTCTGTGAATTTTTTTAAAGATACTCCAGAAGAATTTTCCACGACTTTTAACATTTTTTTAGACAGCTCGTAAAGCATCCAGCAGGATACAGATCTCTTACCAAATGCCACAGAAACGGGCCTCAACATTCTGACTAGAATACTCTTCCTTTTGGATTTAGGTGTCATCTATTGAGAGAAAGGACATTTTCATTTTCTATTTTGACTATTTTTTCTTCAACTTCTCATAAAGTAAATTTATATTCCCACCATGCATGACTCCACATCATTCAGCCCATGTTTCTTGTCTCGATCCTGTTTCTGATGCTCATGGTTCTCTGGATGTAGAACGCTTTCATCCAGGACTTCTGTCTCTGACTCGGGTTCCTGATGCAACAATGGACGGTCCTTTCTGATCAGGTGGTCGGCCTGGAGACAGATGGAACAAAAGGAAAGATGGTGAATGAGTCAGAGGATGAGGAATCTGAATATTTGACAGAGAGGAGATGGCACTAACCAGTGTATGTTGGGATCTTGATAGAGACTCCAGGATCTCATCAACAATGCGATCAGACAGAATGGACGCTACGCCGAGTTTCACTTCACTGTTTCACACAGAAATAATGAGGCCAGAGTCAATAAAAGTGAAAGCAGCTAAAAGACTCCATCAGAACACTGATCCAACAAAGAATAAAAATTTTAGCAAAGAAAGAAATAATACATTATTGTGATTTTTGATTAAAACTCTAGTGGAGGTTGTTTCATAAAATGCCACACTATTTATCAAAGTTGCATTAGGTGGCAAAACATTACAAATAACATAAATTTTCGATGCTACGATCTGCACTGTGATCTCCTAATAAAGGCAGAGTAAAGTTAATCTGATCAGCAGGCAGGCATGCATGGTGCAGAGCAGACCTGATTTTGTTGATGATGTCCACACCGGACTGCTCCAGAAGGGTGTTTGTGACGAAGCTGCAGGGGATGGTCATCCTCCCTGCAGCAGCTTTAAGCAGCTCCTGACGAAGGCCGCTCCTCTTCATCACATGAGGACAAAGGCCTTCAGCAGCATCAACCATAGACACCAGCATGGTCTGGAATAGTCAATATCATTTGAATCCTGACTCTTAAGCTTTTACAGATTGCATCGTCAATGCTGGTGGAGTTGAAGCTATGATACCTGTAGCTGCTCATCCATCACACTTGCCACCTCTCCAGCCATTGACTCCAGCTTGTCCTGAATGGCTGCAACAAATGCAACTCTGGACCCACCACTCTTTAAGTGGTACAAGTTGGGGAGCAGCTGGAACAAAATGCAAGCAAAAAAAGAGAAATCTACACTTATTCTGCATCTTTATTTGGATTTTTCAGTGCACTGCATAAAGCTACTCTGTTGGTGATGATCTGTGTTTTCTTACAGTTTTGGAGTTCTTTGCATCCTTCATGAGGTTCTCTGCCAGCTTCATGTCATCTTGAACGGAGTTGGCCTCTGAGAACTTCAGAGAGTTAAGGTGATCCTGGACTCTCACACACATCATGTCCATCATCTGAAATGTAAACAAGTTTGACGGTTAAGAGGAATTTCTTAAAACGGATCAAAGAACTGTTCAGATAGCGTATCTGTACTGCTGCGCCAACCTGCTGTGTGGTGGTGGTGACTATTCCCTGCTGCAGCCTGTATGCCTGCTCCTGGAGGTATTTACGAGTCTCGTGGTTTCTCAGCAGGTACTGCTCCATCTGCAGGAATCAAAGAAAAAGGAACAACCTTTAGATTTTAAAACTTTACAAAACATAACATATAAATGAGCAGGAACCTTTAGTAAAGCGTCCTCCGTCTTATCTGGGTTGGCTTTCAGTGCCTGAGCAGCATCCATGATGGGAACAGGCATGAATCGAATTGTGTAGTTTCTAATTTTTAAAGAGGACATAGGATTAATAGCAAGAAGAATCCTAAAACTTGGAAATGTAATAATGTTACTCTTACTTTTCCAAGGCAGCAGCTACATCCTGTAAACCCTGTGGGCTGACATTATTTCTGTCCCACACTAAGGTCCTGGAGAGCCACACAAATAAAACAGACAGAATTGAGTGTAAAACATTTTTCTGTGGTCAGTGGATGTTGAAATGAATAAAAAAAAAACATTTACTCTTCTCTAAAACCCCTTTCACTAAATTTTAACAGACACATAGAGCTCCTGATTTTTAAAGATTCACATTGAAATATGATTTTCCAAGAAAATGAGTTTAGAAAATATGATTAGGATCCCTACTCACCTCAGCTTTGTGTTGATTTGGAGGGCTTTGGCTAGTATTTTGGCCCCCATGTCTCCCATGGAGTTTCCACTGATGTCCAGTTTGATCAGAGAAGTGTTGCTGCCCAGAGCGTTAAGGACAATGGAGAGGTCAGCTTTCAACTTGGAATCAGCGAGGGACAGTGAAGTCAAAGGCTGTCAAAAAAATAGTAAAAAAAAAAGAAATTAGGAAAAAATAAGATAACACTACGAAAATAAGTTCAACCAATATAAAATTGTCACCATGAGGGAAAAATGAAAAGCTACAATGTCTCACTCACTGATTCTTCTTCTTGAATCATATGAACCAGGTTATCCAATACTTGAGCAACATTTCTGTGGTAACAGCATAAAAAAACAATTATCTAAAGTCAAAACTGTGAAAAGCTAATCCTGGGCTGCTATAAAGTAATTTTTTTTTTTGTGGCCACTTACTTGGATTTGATATTGTTAAAGTTTTTGCCCAACGAAAGGTGCCTGATGGAGCGGTTTTTGGCCAGCCACACAAGAAGGGTGGTGAGATCCATGTCCAAACCTAAACCGGACAACAGAAGCATGGGCTTAAATCTGCAGAAGCACAAATCCAAAATGTGTGTGTGGAAGTTCTTACTGTTGTCTGAAATATCCAGACTGGAAATGTTTGGGATCTCAGCGATGCAACCCTCTAAAATCTGTGAGCCTCCCGAACGAAGCTGCAGGGAAATGCACTCTTTTTTTTGTAAAACTTCTTCAGATTTGTGACTATTTTTGAATTCACTTATAGCATTTAAAAATAGGCTGCTAAAAAGTGCTGAGGTCTGTGGTGGACTTACATCACAGCTGCTGAGATCCAGAGAAACATCACTAAAGTTTGGATTACAACCAAGGCCCAACAACAACGACCTACCAACAAAATTAGTTAGTAATGCCAGTGTAATATAGACTTAATTTGCAAAGATTATGACGACCCCTTTTTCTACATCCATGTTTCTAATTATTACTGCAAGAAAAGGTTTTTAATTTTTTTAATTTTTAAAGAGTGTTTTGGAGCACCTCATAAATCTGCATTTGTCAGAGAAAAAAATTGAAATTAAACCCTTCTAGTAGGAAAAATAAATAGTTTGATTATGGTTTTTAAGCACATGGCTTACTCAAATTGCATGTTGTTAAATGACTTCCTCCTATGTGTGCAGAGACAGGAGGAAGTGAATTTCAATCCCACAAAATCAAAAGTTACTGAACTGCTTTTGTTGCCAACTCTGTCTGGGATTTTTGATGCAATCAGATAAAAAATGTCCAATTTAAACTGATAATTAATATTGGAGCAAATGAAAGCAAGGCCTAAATTATCTTGGTTTTCTACAACTGAACTATTTAGACTGAAACCGACTTTAATCTATTTTCGCCACTTGGTTGGTAGAAACAGATTGAGGAAGAAGACAAGAAAATGGGGGAAAAAAGAAACTTAAAAGCTGCATTTTTTTTTTTTACCAGGAGCTGATATCTAAATGTTTATTCCCAAAAAGACTGCTGTGTTAGTCACAGATAAACATTACATTTCTTTCCAAGTAAAGATATACATCTTACCAAACCCTTAGTTATTATAAAATGACAGACTCAACGACTGATTGCTTTAACTTAGCTCATACAAAACACTGATGTCTGGATAAGAAATGTTGCCCACTCCTGCTTATGCACAGCTTTCGAAGCACTCCAGGCATTCTTTTAAGTAAGAGCCACTGACATCATATACTTCCTGCAAATTGGTCCAACATCAGCTTAGCTTGAAAATGTTTAAACCAGTTTAAGCCATTCTTACTTCAGAGCCTCCAGCGGCAGTTTGGTTCCTGATAGACTAACAGACGTCAGAGCCTGAGCACTGCTGAAAAACTGCTTGAAGGACGAAGGGATTTCTTTGCACTTCCTGTAAGAGTGTTAAAAAAATATTAATTTTTTTCTACCAAAGGTATTCAGATACACAGCAAATTCTGAGTATGTTCTCTGTTTAATAATTGGAATGCATTTTCTCAGTTAATAAATACTTTATTTTATGGGCAACCAAGAATCTAGAATCTGAGCATATATTTGATGCCTTTTCCTCTCTTTGTAGTTAAAACCAGTGGTTCCTAATCGTACTGCTTAACAGATGATGGCAACTGAGACCTGCTGCCAACTACAAGCTGATCTACACAAACACTGATAATAGCCAAATCCAATAATAATAATAAAAAAAAAAAAACATAGCCACCCTAAGCAACTATCATTATTCCTTTTTTGTTAATTGATTATATGCTTATGTCTTATGAAGAATACGGAATAGATAACTAATCGGTCATTGAAGCCAAACCTAGTTTGATTACTGGAGATCAGAATTCCATACTGAATTCCACTGCCCTAAACTTTCTGTAAAAGTCTTGCATAATAGTTTGATAATGAATATTCAGAGTCTGACCTGTGAGAGAAGACTGTTCTTGACATGTTGAGGATGGCAAGATGCTTCAAAGATCCTCTGCACAGAGATGCACACACCTGAAAAATACGCAAAATTATGCAAAGTAAAATAAAGCAAAATCATAGATGTAAATCAGTGCATGTATGATATGACCACGAAACACCAAAAGAAGCTCAATAAAAGGACGTCTTGATTTGTAAGTAGCTATCTGAGTGGTTTTTACCAGCTCCAGGGAACAATCACTGTTTGACAGATCCAGAGTTTCAAGACAGTTTGGGTGACTCAGGAAATTGTGCAAATTCTGCAAAGACAACACAGAGAACCACATTAAGTATAAAGCAGAGAACAGTAAAGCTTAACAGGAGAGGACATAGTGTTGCATACCTGAAGGTCATCTCCTCTCAGGGAGTTCCCCGACAGGTCGAGGTGTGTGAGGGTGGAGGCGATGATGGGGTTGGCGCAGAGTGCCTGACAGAGGCTGTTTACACCTGCAATACAAACTTGTTCTTAAAAAAAAAAAAGCTTGCGAACAGTAAAGAACTATTTTTTTGTTTTCTACTCGCCTTTGGGAGACATGGAGGTCTTTGAGAGATTCAAGTTCTTTAGGCCCATGGGCAGTTTGGCTAGCTGAGAACTCAGAGCATAGACACCTGAGAGAAAGATTCAGACACCGGATTGTTTGCATTTAGAAAGTGAATCATGAATTTTAGAAAATTTGAAATTCACAGCTTTTTCTTATTTTGTTATTTTTTTTCTGTATCTAGAGTTTTGTGAGAGTACTTAATCTTGTACTTTTATTTTGCCTTCATCTTCGTTTAATAAATAATGACAAAGTGGAATTTTCTGTGTCAGCTCAGTTCAGTTTTTTATGTCCCCTTGAGACACTTTACAAGACAAAGTGGGTCAAAATCGTATCAAATTATACAGAAATATCTAATCAAATAAGTGAAACTCACACCAGTTAAACTCAATCATATAAAGAGACATACATGTGGTTACATCAAGGGTAATTTGAATGATCTGAAAACAGCACCTTGAAGATTAAAGTCATGTGAACAGGATAACAAAATAACATGCTCAGCTCATGATGTTCAAAATACACCAGAGTTGACCATTTTCTTCTCATCCACTAGTTATTGTTGCATGTATTTAGAGAGAAAAATCTAATGCTGGTATTAACATTTTGAAAACTTTGCATACTAAATGTCTGCTTATAAAATGTTGAATTTTTAAATTTAATTGTGGTGTAAAATACTTTCTAATAACATAAAAAATGTATCATTCTTTCACAATTCTTGTTTTTCTGCTCAATTTCACAATAACTTTCCATCTGCTTGAACTCTAATTAGTCAAATAGGAAGTGTCTGTGTTTCAATGATGAATAGATAACCCCTACTCTCATGCCCTACCCTGTACAAACAGTAAAGAACATTGTTTGAGCTGTGTGGGTATGTGTAACCTTTGTCCTCTAGGGAGTTGTTGCTCAGATTGAGTGTGTGCAGCGTGCAGGATGGGTTATGTGACAGAGCACCTGCAAGTTTCTGAGCAAAATCACTGAGGAAGAGAGAAAGCAGAAACAGAATGTCAGAATCACAGACTGACTTTAACACCTGTGAGCAGAAAACCTGAATGGATGCAGCAACTCAACAAGCTAGGCTAATGAGACCTGATAAATTATAAATCACTGTCTTAATCAAAATTTTTGTGTTAAAAATAGCTTATTTTTGGACAATGGTAATCTGACCTTTTCAGTCCAGCATTGTCCAGAACCAATTCTTCTAGTCGACTGGATCGGGCAACTACTCTGAGGATCTGGTCACACACATCTGTAGGCTGGAAGACAGAAACACCAAACACAATGAGGGAAAAAGGCATATATTATTTAAACAATAAAATAGGAATTTTTAAGTTACAACTGAAATGTAAAACAGAACTTCAAGATGTTACCAGTTTGTAGTCTTTGGTTGATAGCTTGGTGAACCACTGGTTGTATTCTAGAACTGCAATGATCGCCACAAGATCTCTGCAGGACAAATATTAGAAAGTTCAAATAAATATCTACACCAGGTGGAGGGCATGTGTGAATGTGGTGGCAACTGAGATCAGATCAGAGTTTAAAACCTGTTCTCCAGATGAACAAAGTCCTGCAGGTTCAGTTCTCTAGTGTCCTGACTTAAATAGATTGTGTCAACATCCTGCAAAATGTAGAAACAACATGTGAGATAAAAAAAAGAACAAAATACAACAGAAAGAGTGAATATTGTCATAAAATCAAAAACAGTAATAATAAAAAGAAAATAGCATCAACCAGAAGCAGCTTCAGAAGATGTGCAAAGAGTCTGCAGGAGTAATTGCTTCAGTTTGAAAAAGAGGGGAAAATATATATATTTAATAGATATAAACATGAAAAAAAGAACAAAAAATAAAAGCCCATAAAATGCAGAAGAAAAGAAAACAAATACAGAGAAATATCAAGCCAAACATTAAAACAAGTGGCCAAGAAAGGAAATTAAAAAGTTAAAATGTTAAAAAAAAATAAAAACAAATAAAGGAAGATAGTTTCTCCATACTGACCCACTGGACCTCCTCTCTGTATGGCAGACCCAAGCTGTCACACACACACCAGTACTGATGAGAAAAGCCACCTGGAGGAGACATCACAGCAATGTGTCAGTGATCAAATGAAAAAACATTCATTGAAATCTGCCTAGATTATTTATTTACTTATTTTATTTTTCTTATTCTTGTCTTTTTTTATTTAATTTCTTTTTTAATTAAATTTATTTACCACAGGGTCCTAAGTCCGCTGAACACTGATCGTTCCAGACGGCCTGCAGGGCTGTTAACCTCTCTGGAGGTTTCAAATTCAACTTCCTCATCAACTTCCTTCCTTACAGAGAGATACAGGAGGAAATTGGAAAAATGCACCAAAAACATGTGAGAAATCAAAACATGAAGAGACAAATACATTCTCTTAAACAGATAAAGTGTTTCAATAGATAACATTACATTACATATACATTTTCACAATAAATTTCTCATGTACGGTTATTTTATTCTCAAAATTCTGTAGAGTTAAGGTTGCTTTCTAAAGTTTCTGCTGGATAACTTTCTAAATATAACTATTAATTTACTGTAAAATAAACTGAAATAGCATCTCTGTGTTTAAAAATCAACTGAGGTGTTAGTTGGAGCATCACATATTTTGGTTACATGAAACACAATTCCAAATTAAATCTTTTTTTTTTTTTACAAAGCACTTTTGATAAAATATTGGTAGGTAGTTATTAGATTGTTGATACCGATAAAAACTAAGCTCCTTAAATTTGAACCAAATGCATGATTTTATTCCTTATTTCTGTCTGAACATTTGATCCTGTCAAAGTCTGAGGTTTGCTCCATGGTGGTACCTACACAGGTGAGCCGGCAGGACAGATCCGGTGAAGACAGTTGCCGATCTGAGCAATCACCTCATCCACCTCCTCCACTGAGCCCAGCCGGAAGCTCCAAGGCCCACGCTCATGCTCCAAAACCAACTGCAGGGGGCGACACACACAAAGAAGCATGGCACAGTGTTACTTCATCTCACTGTTGTGTTACAAAGAAGAGAATTAGCTGCTTCACACTAAAGATTTTGTGACATACAGATACGTCAATAAGATGCAGGGTTACGGTCATGGGTTTAGACTTGACAGAAGCAGCCTAATGGAAAAATGTTTTGTGCACTTTTAGTATTTCCTTTGCTGAAATGTGTGGGTTTCTGTGTGTACTAAGCTTGCAACCTATGTACATGGCTAAAGTAAAATGTTCTACCTCATATCATGTCTGGTGTGTGATCACATAAAATACAACACAATGCATCACTTTCGGGCTTTTGTCAATATCATAAATATAATTTAAATCATAAACCACTCTGATGGTAAAATAGTTTGTTGTACTTGTACCTGGGTGGGCTTGTTGCTGCTGATTCCCTGAATATCCAAGTAGTTGAATGACTGCTCAACCTGAGATAAACAAGAGAATACTAAATTTATCATTTCATTATTCACATTAAATTAATTGCACTCTTTCCAAGTTTTGACAGAAAAAAAGAAAGAAAATGGGTGTTTTTGTCTCACATCTTAAAAAAGAAACAGCATCTCAAAATGTGGACAAATACCAAAAATTCAAATCAACTTCAGACTGGATCTCCATCAAAACAAGTACAAGTTGTAGAGCTGTAAATGCTGTGGTAAATGTCAAAGCAGAGTGTGGTCCACAATAACACAAAAAACATAAATATCCATTTTTTATTCCTTTGTTTCTGAGTCACCTATTTACTTTATGAAGTCTTGGTTTAACAGATCAACGCACAAGTGAGAATCTACAAAGAAAGTTGACATGAGATGCATTATTCTGAGTAACTGAGCCTGAAGTTATATTTCAGACCCAAAACAATAGGTAGGAAGCCTAAAGTTGGATCTGGTTTCCACATCTAATATGGCATACATCCTAAATAAATGTTTGCATTCTGAAAATCTTTCTTTGATCTGAGCTATATTATGATCTCTAAGACAATACTGTGTTTCCAACTTTGTGGTAACAAGTCAGGGCAGGCCGTTACCTGCTTCAATGCAGCAATGCCAGCAGGCACAAAGGCAGCTCCATGATAACACATTTTACAGAACATCTCTTGCTCTGCCAACATCCCTGATAGGAGTTTGTGTGCTGGCTGTCAGCCAGACGACTTCACTGCTGGACCTCGCTCACATGTGTGGCTGGAGTGGAGCAACATCTGGTGCAAAAGCCTGAGGCTAGGGGAATGGAGGCCGCTGTAAACACATTTTAACCCTGACTGGAATGGACCGCTCAGTTACATTCAGCTTAAATGTTCAAGTGTGTTTAGATTACCAGGAAGAATCTGGTATGAAGACTAGAAGCTTTGGTAAATACCCTTATGTCTCACCAAGCTCCAGCTCGTTTTGGGAAAAAGCGTGGAAGAATTCCACGTACTACTCCTTTTGAACCTTTAATCTGCAACTTAAAATCATAAATTCATACCTGGCTTTTTCTGTGCAGAACAGAAGCACCTGTGTGTCTGACTGCATGATTCGTATTTTCCAGGTCAAATTGAAACAGAATCTTACAGTAAAAGGAGCAAATTAATTATCAAAAACACGACTATGGTTGGAAAAAAAAAATCTTCTAATCAAAACAAAAGCTGCAAACAATGTGCAGAGCAAATGTCTGGGGGAAAAGCCAGACCCTCAGTTTCATTTTCCTATGAATTCAGGGGAGAAATGTGCTGCCTGCCAAAGAGAGCAAGTGTAATGCAATAAAAAGGTGGGAGAAACCAGAGTGGAAAAGGAAGAGAAACACCTGAATTTATTATAAAATCTGACAAATAGCAGAGAAAAAATGTCTACTCTAGTGTGAAACTGAAAGGGAATACCAGAGAAATAGATTTAAAAAAAACTGAGCGAGAATGGAACAGGAAGAGGCAAATAGGCAGTGCCCACTCCTCTGCTCTGTTTGCCAGCTGTTAAATTCCTCCATTGTCTCTTTTTTTCTCTCTCCCTCTGCTGGGACAGTACACACTCAGGAACAAACCACTCTCTGTTTCACTCTCACACACACAAAGTTAGACAAACCACTGACCCACTCTGGAACAACAGATCAGGGGTCAGCTGGCAGATCTCGACATCTCTGATTTGCACATTCTGTTTATAGGTTATTTACCACACACTGATGTTTTTCAGCTGTGTCCCTTAACTGGTTTATCATACAGCATTTTTAGAGGGGGGGAGGAGTGTTTTTTTTTGTTTTTTTTTAATTACTATTGGGGTAAAGTACTCATGAGCAATCAAGGTCTTAACAGCAGCAAACAGGAGTCAGCCTGATCTCAGTTTGAAGAAGCAGGTAGCAGGTAGAAAACCCAGGGGGAAGTCAAAATAGCAACTTCTCAAAACTAAATCAACGTAAGAGAGAATACAAAACAATCTGAACTCAAATCAACAATCAGAATTCAAAATTCAAATTTATATCATTGCTGATATAAATTTGTTATAAAAGTATTACTGATTGCACTTTAAAAATTAGGTATCTTTATGTTATTAAAGGTAAAGTTTAAACAGTAATGAGTTATTGGTTAATGTCAAGTTGTCATAACAAAAACATTTTGAATAATGTCAACTTTGTATTAAAAGAGTCATAATTTACCAAATGACGCTTTATGACAACAGTCATAAATATTCATGAAGGCTTATTTCATGTTCATGACAGACGCTATGTCATGTTTATGACAGTGTCATGTCAGTCTTATTCAACCCCCTTCAAATAAAGTGTTACCAAAGTTTTTGACTAAAGTGTAACGAAATATCAAAAGCTCAAAGAGAGGTCAGGGGCGTTGTATTCTCCCATTTATATCCATGCAATATTGATCACTGGTAAATCATTGCTGAGGACAAAGGTCACATGACCATGAGGTAGTGAAGTAGGTTAATATGGTCAAGAACATCTGAAGAAATGCCAATTTTGTCCCATTTTTCAATCTCTTCTCATCTTAATCTGTCTGAGAATCCACATGATCTGCCAAGACAAGCCTGATTCACACAGACTCCACCCGGCAAACCACAGGAGCAAAAGATCTGATCCCAGAGTCTCGGTGCCAGACACCACGCAGGGCACGCCTAGAAGTCCCACGTTCATTCCATAACGGGTCAGAGTTGGGATTAAAGACACGAGCACAAGCGTATTTTAATGTTACACTAGTGTTTAAATGCTTTCTGCTAATGGATAACAGGGCTGAAACGATTAATTGGATGAATCAGTTATAGAAATAAATGTCAACTGATAAATGATTAAATGGAGAATATATACTCAAAGAAGGCAATTTTGCTGAAACATCATCATATTCAGAGCAGTAAGCCAAACAAATACAAAGTCTATACATTTTGCATGTAAGCTTAAAAACCATTGTAAATATATTCTACCCAAATCTCTGCAAATGTGATAGTTTTAGCTTCATCTGGTTCAAACTCTGTAAAAAAAAAAAAAAAAAAAAAATTTTTTTTCCCATTTTTAAAAAAGGGGCCAAATTTTTTTGGGGGAATTTTAAATCTGTTGGGTTGCAAA